ATGAACAGCTCTTCGCGAGAAGCTCATTACTTTACATTTCTTAAGATTTAGAGGCATAAGATTTACTTGACACCAGTAAGCCATGCTGTCTAAGTCTGATTGTAGCAAAGACCTTTCTTTAATTGAAACGTACGATTTATAAAGCTTTACATCATCTGCATACATTGAAATTTTGGAAAATTGTATATCTGTAGAAATATCGTTTATAAAAAGCAAGAACAGAACCGGGCCTAGGTGGCTACCTTGAGGGACTCCTGAAGTAACGTCAGTAAGAGATAGTATTTTTAAACATTACCCTTTGTGATCTATCATAGAGGTATGAAGAGATCCAACGTAGAAAATTAGGCGGAAGACCAAGAAGATCAAGTTTGTAGATGAGCAACGAGTGGCACACTTTGTCAAATGCTTTACTGAAGTCAGTATATATAACCTCAACAGTTTTGCTTTCACTAAATGCTTTTGAGATATAGGATGTTAATTCAAGTAAATTTGTAGAAGTTGATTTGCCCTTGCAAAATCCATGTTGAGTATATGAAATGCTAGAAGAGATAGAATGCGTCAACTGATTTTTTATAATTGCTTCAAATAATTTAGGAATTGCAGAAAGCTTAGCTATTCCCCAGTAGTTCTCCACTGAAAATCTGCTACCGCTTTTATGTAACCGGGTTATGAACGATTCCTTCCATATAGTTGGAAAAACGCCCTCTTTAATAGATAAATTAAATATCACTGTTAACGGCTCATAGAGATAATCAGAACAATTTATAAGAATACAAGTAGGGATCTGGTCAGGACCATAACTGAAGGACTGCTTTAAGGATTTCAGATAAACTACTGCATCATCGGGAGATATTACTGGGATATTTATTGATTTCATTGGACATAGTTTAAAAGGATAGTCAATGTTAGCATGTGAGTTAATGGAATAATTGGATTTAAAAAACTGAGGGAACATGTTAGAAATTGTTTGATTATCACTAGAGACGGTATTTTGATACTTCATGGCGGAAGGAAACCTGTTATGAGACTCTTAGCCGTGCTCGCAGGATGGGCTTGCAACGCCTGTCGGCAATCGCGGCGTGTGCACTGGCGTAGGTTCCGGAATAAACTATTAAAAAAAAACTTTTTTTTCGCTTGTAAACTTTACCGCACTTGAAAAGAATTACTGTGAAATTTGATGTTCTCTGCTTGAAGGTTCCGATCGAAAAGAACGCAAAGTTATTCCGGAAATCAGACCTAAGCCGAAGTGAGTAGTATTTCTATCGCAAAATATCGATAGAAATTATCTTAAATCATATGTTTGAGGAGATGCCTTGAAGGAACTTTGAACGTAGCTATGTTTAGTAGACAACACAGGGCGCAGCGAAAGTGAAATAAAAATAGGCGGAAGTGAAAGAGTTAAATTGAACGCAAAGCTAATGAAGCTACAAATGGGTACAAAAAGATAGTTGAACATGTACCTACAGTACACACCCCCCCACCTAGAGTGTTGGTTCGGTGTATATTTAACTTTTACCTTTTTGAATGTCTTTTCTGTGATAAACTCCACGTTTTCTTGTATTGTCATCCTGCAGCTCATATAAACAATTACCTTTTACTGCAATGACTGTTGCTTTTATAAACTTTGGGGCAAATTTCGCACAAAATTTCTTAGTGGCATCGCTCAAAACGAAATTCCTCTTATAGACGCTATCTCCTACCCTAAAATTTTCTGCAGAACTTCCCAAATTATATCTTTTGGCCGAGCTATCGAAAGCTTTTTTGATATGTTCGCTAACCGACTTTCGCACCAACGCGAGTTTGTCTGTTTTATCTAGGGTATTGTCGTCCAGAGTTCCTAGTTTTCGGAGTAGCTCATATTCGTCAGCGTGCGCTGACATTTGCTGACCAAAAACAGCATGATATGGCGAGCAACCTATGGCCTGGTGGTATGAACTCCGCAAAGCTTCAGCAATACTTGGTAAGTGTTTATCCCATATGGTCTGATCTTCCTTCAAATATGCTCGTATTCCTGCAATGATTGATCTGTTAACACGCACGCTCGCATTTGCTTGTGGGCTGTACAGGGCAGTATACACATGTTTGATTCCACGTTCAGCAAGAAGGTTATTAAACTGAGCGGATTTAAATTGTTTCCCATTATCGCCTAAGATAATTTCTGGGGTGCCGAAAACACTAAAAACTTGTTCCTGCAGAAAGTTGCAGACGGCCAATGTATTGGAAATTTTGTGAGATGATCTAAAACTATCAAAATACTTGTATTGCCTTTCCTAGATCTAGGATACGGTCCTAATAAATCGATATACAACTTCTGAAATGGGCGCTGTACTGTGTATTGCGCGGACATAGGCGGACGCAGTGTTATGTTTGGCGCTTTGCTGCTTCGACAAGTATCGCATAGGCCAATATAGTTTTTGACGTCGACCGTCCTATTAGGCCAGTAAAAGTTTGCTCGTAAACGCTCTAGTGTTTTTGCGATTCCGCCATGACATTTCGTTGGTGGACAGTGAGCATTTTCAATGACTTGTCGAACCAGGGTTTTCGGAATCCATAGTTTCCAATTATACATTTCCCGCTCAGGATTTCCGTCAGGGTGCTCTCTTCTTTTATACACACGATCATCTACTATTTGAATATCAGGTAAGCGAGTTTGATTATTTCGGATATGGCTTATCAGCTTTTTATACTCATCGGACTGAAATTCTGACGATTCTAAATCGACTAGCGGACGGGCCTCTAACTCGTTGACCTCATCAAAGTTTTGACGGGATAAGCTATCAGGTACTACGTTTCGCGAACCTTTTCGGTGCTCTATATTAAAGCGATACGCTTGCAATTTTAAGGACCATCGGGCTAGTCTGGTGGAAAGGTCGGTCTGACGCATAAGCCATTGTAGACTGGCATGGTCGGTCACAATCGTAAAATCCTGGCCTTCAACATAGGCCCGGAACTTCTTTAAGCTAAGAACAGCCGCAAGGCACTCCAACTCAGTAACACTGTAGTTACTTTGAGCCCTGTTGAGTTTTTGCGAGAAGTATGCTATCGGTACTTCGACGCCATCTTCGTTTTTCTGTGCCAATACCGCACCAACACCAAGTTTAGAAGCATCGCATTGGAGTATGAACGGTTTTTCATTGTTGGGACTCGCTAAAACAGAAGCTGAACAAAGCATTTCTTTCAAAGTTTCAAAAGATTTTTGGGCATCTTCATTCCAACCGAAACTTTTCCCTTTCCTTAATAAATTCGTTAGGGGAGTCGTAACAGAGGCAAAATTATCCACAAAACGGCGGTACCAACCGGCCATTCCGAGAAAACGCCTAAGTTGCTTTACACTGTTGGGTACTGGATAGTTTGTCACGGCCGAAATCTTATCCGGATCGGTGCTCAAGGTTCCGTTTCCCACAATATATCCAAGGTATTTTACTTCCTTTATGCAAAATTTGCTCTTTTCCAGGTTTATCGTGAACCCAGCTTTTCTTAAGTGAAGAGCGACTTCAGAGAGGACGGACATATGACTGTCAAAATCTCCGACAGTATAAGAAGGTCGTCTAAATAGACGAAAACTTGATTTTTCAATTTGGGTGGAATGACGCGACCCATCAAGCGGCAAAGAGCTTGAGGGGCGTTGCATAAGCCGAAAGGCATTACGAAATAACGGTACAACGGACGATTAGGGACTGTAAAACAAGTGTAATCTCTAGAGTTCTCGGACAGGGGAATTTGCCAAAAGGCTCGACGCAGATCTAGTGAACTTATGTATTTAGCCTTTGGTATTCTACTTAATATA